ATTCCTCTCCTTTTTTCATTTATAACATCGTAGTCTAGAAAAGTCCACGGAGATGATCCACTTAATTTTTATTTTACTTTATTTATTTTTTTAAGTTAACATATGGTAAAATTGACTTTTTGGTGTACAGTTCTATGAATTTTAACACATATATAGGTTTTGTTTAACTACTACCAAAATTAGGTTTCTGTCAGTTCTATTTTCCCAAAAGACTCCCTGAGTGCTGCCTCCTCACCTGCAACTGTGGGCAATCAGTGATCTGTTCTTAATTGCTATAGTTTTGTCTTCTACAGTGTCTTATAAATGGAGTCACACAATATGTTATCTTTTGGCACTGGCTTCTCTTACTCAGTGTAATACCTAGAGATTCATCCATGTTTTTATGTGTATCAATAATTCTTTTATTGTTAAGTAATATTTCATTGTATGGATGTACCATAGTTAATCCAGTCACCCTTAAAGAACATTTGTATTATTTCCTGTTTTTGGTGATTATGAATAGAGCTGCATTTTACTTTTTACTGTTTTTACCTCTTTTAATTTACCTCTATATTTAAAGTGGGTTTCTTGTGCTATATATAGCTGGGTCTTGTTTTTTAATCCATTCTGATGATCTCTGTCTTTTAATTGGTGTGTTTAGGCCATTTATATTTAATATAATTATCTATATGGTTAGATTTAGGGCTACTATTTTTTATTCGGTGTCTTTTCTCTTTTTTGTCATTGTTCCTTTATTCTTTATTTTCTTCTTTTAGGTTATTTGAACACGTTTTAGTATTCCATTATATATATATGTTTTCACAGCCTACTTAGAATTAATATTTTACCACTTCGTATTTTACCAGAGGAATGAAGAGACCTTATCACCATATAGGTCCCTTTAACCCCCTTACTTTATGTTGTAGTTGTCATATTGATGAATTTAATACATAGAAAATCCCATGAGACAGTGTTAAATTTTTTTCCTTTAACTATCATATTTATTTTAAAGATCTTTCAAGAGAATAGTATTTCCCCCCAAATATTCCCAGATTATTCTTTAATTTTGTAGATAAGGTAGATGAAGCTTCTGAAATGTTTGACGACTTGCCCAAAGTCACAGTTGTAAGTAGTAGCTAAATCGAGAACCAAGATTTTCAAACCTTTGAGCCAATATTTCCTTTTCTTTCTTTTCCATTTGATTACATGAATGAGATCTTTTCTGTTACTTTTGTTGCACTCCATTCAAAATTGCCCTTGTGGCTGCTAATGGAAAACGTGTTCAGAGGATTCTTCACTGCAGCGTGGCAGGAAGTATTAAAATCCCAGTTCATAGCTTTCACCCACAAGATGTTGATAATGTAACCATGCATTTGTCTCTCCCTTGTCTATTTAACTGAGAGGCTTTGAGATTGATTCAGTTCTGTTTATGTTGCCAGTGTTCCTGGAATTGAAAATATTTTAAAAAATTTCTACTTAGGTCTTTAATCTTTTGTTTTGACTTTGAAGTTGGATATTCTTTGATCTGTTGTCTAGGAGTAGGGTTTTTGCCTTAATTTGTTCATATAGTAACCTTTTGTGTGTTTACTTTGTGTACTGTATCATGATAATTTCGTAAAAATATTAGATTAGTATTTTTAGGCCCTTAAGGGTTAATGCCTTCTGAGAGGAAATATCATATATGTAGGCCCTCCGCCCCTCAACGGTTTCACTTTCTGTGGCTTCAGTTTCAACTATTGTCCAAAAATATTACATTGAAAATTCTAGAAAAGAACAATTCATAAGTTTTAAGTTGCATGCCATTCTCAGGAGCCTGATGAAATCTGATACAGTACTTCCCCAAGTCCTGCCCCAGATGTGAATCATCTGTTTGTCCAGCATATCCATGCTGTATATGTTACCCACCTGTTAGTCACTTAGTAGGCATCTTGGTTATCCGATCAGTTATCAAGAGAGAGACCACTTTCAAATAACTGTCGTGACAGTATATTGTTATAATTGTTCTATTATTAGTTATTATTGTTAATCTCTTATTATGCCTAATTTATAAATTAAATTTTATCATAGGTATGTATGTATAGGAAAAAAATAGCATATATAGGATTCAGTACTATTTGCGGTTTCAGGCATCCACTGGGAATATTCCCCATGGATAGTAGTGTACTACTGTAATTGTTTTATTAAATAGCAGACTAAAAATTAAATATCCAAAAATGAGAGTTAAAATTTATCACTTTGGAAAACTATATGGGCATTCTAAAATATTTTTGACACTTGTCTTTTTGAATTACCTTCACAATTTTTGACACAATGAATGGGTACATTCACTATGTAATGGACATTTCATGTGTTAGATACTGTGCCCCATGCTAAGGGTGATATGATAGTAAAGGTAGGGGAAAAAGAAACAGATATGAATCTTTGCCTTCAAAGAGTTTAAATTTTGGTAAGCAAATAAAGAGATCAACCATTAAAGAAGGCGTGTTCTTTTGCGCGCGCGCGCTCTCTCTCTCTCTTTCTATGTATATATGTACATATGTACATATGTATGTATGATGCGCGCGCGCGCTCTCTATGTATATACGTACATATGTATGTATGTATAATTACTCAGACAATTACCCTATCTTTAAGAAACAAAGTTTGGTGGTAGAGATAAATACAGAAATATTATTGGATTGAAGATATTGAGTGTGACAGAAGATAAGAGACCATGAGACTTTAGAGAAAGAGGCAATTATTTTTTACTGGTGAGATTACTTCATTAAAAATAATTTATTTGAAATGAACTTTGAAGAAAGCTAGCATGTAATTATGTAGTATGGGAAGGATTAAGCCCATTCTATTCATTCATTCATTCATTCAATGGAATTTATTGACTGCTGTTAGCTCTAAGGTTTCCCTGTGAACTATTGTAACAAATAGGAATTAATCAAGCATTTGTGGGGACTTCTATATAACTTATTTTGACTGGAGTATAGAATATGAGTGGGTATGTGTTTGTGTGTATGTATAAGAGAGAGTTATTGCTAGTGATAAAGCTGTGGAAATAGATTGGGGTTAAGGGCTTTGAACACCAGGCTAGTTAGGTGATACCATAGGGCCTCCAAGTTTCTGAGAGGTAATGGGCCATTATCAGAATTGCGCTTAAAGAAGTCAATTACCTGTGTATTAGGTTGGAGTAGATTGGGCAGACTAGAATTAGGAAATTATTGCAATAGCCCAGATGAGAGGTAATGGGAGTTTGAGGTGGTGAGGATGGATAAGGGGGAGATGATCATTAACCTATGTATTAGGTTGGAGTAGATTGGGCAGACTGGAATTAGGAAATTATTGCAATAGCTCAGATGAGAGGTAATGGGGGTTTGAGGTGGTGAGGATGGATAAGGGGGCGATGGTGGGTGAAGGAGCTTTGCTGTCCACAGGCTATACTCATGGTTGGGTGTGAAGACAAATGAAAAAAACAGAGTCAGAAATGTCTCAAATTTCAAATATGGATGACCAATAGATAGTAGTGGTTTTTAATAGAAACAGGAAAGTTATGAGAAAGAACTGTTTAGAGGAGAAATGATAGCTTTGAGCATGTAGAGTTTTTTATTTGTTTTGTTTTGTTTTTGAGGTCCTGATGGAAGGATGTTTAGCTGGGGATGATGTCCTTGGGAAGGGTGGGATTGTTGGTATAGGATCTGGTAGTTGAAGCTTGGAAAAAGGAGAGAAGAGATTAATTGATGGCTTTGGGAATGGCTACAGTAGGTGGTAGGAGGAAGAATAGAAGCTAGGGGACCAGAAATGAGAGATAAGAACACTTTGGGGCAACACTGGAACTAAGGGGGAAGAGATTTTCAAGAACGACATCATCTTTTATCTGTGAGAGTTAGTTATTACTACTGTTGTTGTTATGTACATATATTTGGAGATTGTAATGAGATCAATTCTTCCT